CAACTTCCCTATTTCAGTGAACAACACTGAAATACAACATTTCCCACTGTACAAAGGATACTGCAGTATTTTGATGCTAACTGTATCAGTAGCTTCAAAAGAGCTCCTTTGAATACTTGAACTTGGTCATCAGTTGTAACAGACTCTCACCTCTCCCTGAGGAATCTGCTGGCAGCTTCAACCAACGCACATTTTTTTTTTCATAAATTTTCACATAATCTTGATTTCTCTTGACATCCTGTGCCCCACAAGAGACCAGGTGTGTAGGTATCTATCCTGTGCTTCATGAGACATAATCACTAACTCCAAGCACAGGTAACTGCTAGAAGCTGGAATAGATCAGACCTTGGGCACTCCAGGCCACCCATTTATATGCTGATCCAGAATACTCAAGGCTTTCTGTACAGACTTGTTGGCAATGAAAATATTGAACAGTCAGCATATGACCAAAACCAAGAGCTAGGACATTTGTGTTTGTGAGTCTATTACTAAGCTACACATGCCTCCCATAATCACAGGCGCTAAGATGATTTTCTCCCTTCTTTTCCATTTTAAAACAAAAGAGTAAGACTGACTGCATCACAAGTTCCAAAGTTGCAGGGGAAAAGCATCACACCAAAAAAATTCAAAGAAAGAACTAAGAACTGTCACTTTCTGCTACTACATGGATGCAAAAATAAGACTGGTATATTTTAGGAGTACATAATCCTTTTGGTTCAAAAAAACCCACTTATGTTCACTAAACAGGAAAAGTGAGACAACAAACAACTATGACTGTCTCTGGCAGTCTGACTTTGTGGGAATAACAAACTGTGACAGGAGGTCAGGAACAGCATTCTCACATTTTGCAAAGTAAGTTTTGTCTTTCACAAAACAGATGCTGTAGACAGAACAGCATTTATAACCATTCTTTCTGAGACACCAGAAGATTATACTAGCTTACTCTCCTTACTGGAATCCTGTCTCACCACCTATGCTTTTGTTGGTTTCTCTACAGTTTTCCTACTTCTGTAAAACAGTTCTTTAATACTTACATCTAAGTAGTCCCCTAACTGTCATTCTTCTAGCAGCAAAACATTGCAATTAATAACCTTTAACTAAAATCCAGATTTTCTTCTTCCTTTAATATGCAGATCATTGGACTGGAGAGCTGCCCCCCATGACACATGGATAAAATGGGGACATAAATGGGTCAATTCTCAGATTACATTTTAGGCAAGAGGCTTTGGTTCCCTATTTGCTTTGTTATGGTCAGCACTGAGATCAGAATGTAAAAGCATCACCACATTATCACACCAAAGCCACATGTGACAAGAAGAAAGAACCTCCTCATGTGACCACAAAGAACACTGGCATTTGTGCAGGAGAAATCAGAGCTCCCCTTGGTTTGCCAACCCCCACCTGCCTGGGGCTCTCCCATTTGCTCACCCACATCTCATCACCAAGAGCTGAGTAGATCCACAAACCATCCACAGGGAAGGGGGAAGCCAAGGTGCCAGTGAGCAATGGGAGCACGTCTGCAAGTCTTGGATTTCCTGATCACTCCCTGGGAAGGTTTCGACCCAGATCTGTAATTACCTGACTCAAGCGAGAGTCAAAAGAAAAGGGGGGAGGAGAAAAATCACTGACTGTTTCAAAAGACACACTCGAGGCGACTTACAGTACAGAAGACACGGAGTAAATCGGCACAGACAGTTTACCTGTGTCACATGTTTACAGGGGGTAAATTGAAGTTGGCACTTTACCAGAAGGCAACATTTGCCTTGAACATTTGCCACGAAATTACCATTGTTTCAAGTCAAGTTACTATGTCATTACTGCTGGGTAACTTAAGAGTCAAGTACACAATTAATCCATGTCACCAATGCACATAGTCTGCAAAACATTACAGCCATTAATCTAGTAGTTTTAAAAAGGAGGAAGGGGTAAGAGACAAAAGAACTTATTAGACTTCCAGTAACCAGAAGACAAAGCCTATTAGTCAGAGGCAAATAGAGGAAAGGAAGCCAGCAAGATAAGATGCAGACCCCAAGGGAGAAGCAGCCAAAGAGAAGGAGCCCAGCCAGGGAATTCTGATGAAACTGTTAAGGGGGTTCCCCCTTATCTTTCTGTGACTACCAAGTCCCTCAAGTGTTTACAGATTGTTCTTTCAGCCTTCCAAGAATTCTGGCTACCAATATTCAGCTCCTTCTGTATTTTTGAGAATGAAAGAAAGGACTGTTTTTCTAACATCCTATGCTTCTATTTTTATAGTCTCGTCTTACTCAGAGCAGAGTTTTCCTGTTACATTCACATACAGACCCATGTGCCTAATGGAACAATACTGTTTCTGCAATTTGCAAGTTCTTACAAACTGACAAAACCCCATCAGGATGTATTTTATAGTGTTCCAAGGCTCTAAATTAAATTTACCAACATTTCCCTGGAACCAATTAAGAAAATCAAGTGCTTCAGTGTGGGACAGATCTGAGCAGTGCTGGGGCACTCTCACTCCTTCAAACCTGCAGCCATGCATCTCTGTATCCAAGCCGTCCATGCATTCCTTTCTGCCATGAGGAAATGCAAGTATAGAAGCTGTGTCTGTCCCCTCCTTCCATCCCCTTTCCATCTACTTTATACTCCACTGCCCCTAGGTACATACCAAACACAGAGGATTTCTTCCTGTTTCTTAAGCTGAACCAAAGCAAGCAGCAGAACCAAGACCCTAACTTATCCACTCACAAATTTATCAGAACACATCTTAGAAGTCTGTCAAACTGTCTGGCAGTCCTCCTTGCTCAATATATACTTCTTCAATTAATTTCAATGAGAATCTTCCAAAAGAGCTGTTCTTAGTTTTCTCTCAAAGACACTCCTTGATCTGATTGTCTTTTTTCAACACAGTTCATGCTAAATGGAAGCAAGAGGTAATTATTCATGAATTTCCAAGATGAACAAATTATAAGAACTACTGACACAAATCATTGAGAATTTGCTATGAACACAACAACATTCAACTTTAAAATAAAGCAAGAATCTGGGCAGAAAAGGCACTTAACACAGCCTTGAAGATCCTGATTAAATGAGCTGATTACAACTCATACTGCAGGCTGTCAGTCTCACAAAGAAAGCAGCCAAGTAGTACCAAAGCTGTAAGTTCCCCTGTTATTAGTTGTATTACTTTTTTTTTTTTTAAGAATTACAGTATTCATGCCTACATACAACTTGCTATTAGGAAATAATCAGAGTTTTAGAAATCATTACAAGAGCTAGTTCTTGCAGTAAGTTTGTAAAGTCAGTTGCACTCTGCAAATCTGAACTAATTCAATACAGATCACAAGCTCTCCTTTTTCTGCTGATGTGCAGAAAACCTTTGCTTCAGACTGTGAGCTGCCTGTCATGTAAAAGTGAATGTTTTCCACAGATCACCACAACATACCTGTGTAGGGGAGACTTTGAAGACAAACTACAGTACTGACAAGAACATGAGGTCAGATCTCTTTACTTTCACATGCAATCTTAACTAAGGGACTTGTGTTTCCTTTTCTGAGGATTACCTTTCACCAGGGCAACATGCAGCAGTGTTCAGATGCAGTCAAGGGATACAAGTACTCAGACGCTCTCCCTTCCCATTGCTGTAACCCAAATAAAACACTAATACTGTAGCTACACACTACCTGTTTAACAAAGAGGTTTTTAAACGTGTAAGAATTTGTTTAGATAATGTCTTTTGGTCAACTGTTCTCTCAAAAAAATACAGACCATGCCAGTGAGGCCTGTAATTTTCAAAAAGGTCAGACAGTTCTATGCTTTTTGTTTGTACAGCTATGCCCCTTTTTTTCAGAGCATTTGACTCATTACCCCTTTAAATTATGTGTCAGACACTACCATTTAAAAAAAAGTTACCAGCTGTGGATCAATGCTGTATTCTGACACTTGGCATCAGCCTGTCCAGTTATCAATGTAACATTTTGAAGGGCAGCATATCAGCAGTGTTAACTATTTAAAAGATAATCAATTATTCTTTCCAGTAACCACAGCACTGATAGGATAGGCATATTCTTCCAACCAATATTTGCTCGAAACACTGATTATGCAAGTTATAATTTAAGTTGTTATGAGTAGCTTATTAGCACCACCACAGCCCCAGAGAGTGATTAATGCAGATTGCAGCTTGCACAGGAAGGGTAAACATGCTCAGGGGAAGGAGGGGGAGCTGAAGCAGGAAAAAATACTGGCTGTGCAAAGGGGGTATGTTCAGATAGCGAAAACTACCTTGGAAATAAATCACTTTACAGTTTATTTCTCTTTCTCCTGAAAACACTACGAACGTTCCCGTTCAAGCGTGACACGTGAGAAGGCTGGGCACGAAGCGCACCCGAACAAAGCAGCCGCTCTCCCCGGCCCTGGGGGGCTGCGGGGCCGCCCGCAGCGACCACCGTAAGGGACGTTTTAGGAGCCCGCAGACGGCACACAGCGGAACGGAAAATAACAGCAGAACCAAACCCCGGGGAGAGGCAGCACCGCCGCTCGGGGCACAGGGATGAGTGTGAGTGGACACGGCCCGACGGCACCGGACCCCACTGGCACCGCCCGGAGCAGCGCCCGTCCGGGACCGCCCGTGGCACCGCCTGTCCGGCAGCGGCTGTCCGGCCGCTCGCGGCGGGCTGTCCCGGGGCTGCAGGGCTGCGGCTCGGGGGGCCCTGACGTGAGGGGGAGGCGGCGGCGCGGGGCCCCCCGAGCATAACCGGCCCTGGCGGGGCTGAGGAGCAGCGCGGCGGCCACGGACGAACCCCACCGCCCGCACCGTCGCCCGGGCCGTGCCGAGCCGCGCCGAGCCCCGCGCCGCCCCCGCCGCCGCTCCCGCCGCAGCCCGGGCGGACGGGAAGAGCTTCGGTCCAATTCACTCACCTCCGCGGCGCCGAGCGGCTCTGCCTCCACCGCATCACTTCCGGGCGAGCGCTCAGCTGGCGGACGCGCCGTGACGGACCGTGACGTGCCGTGACGTGCCGTGGCGTGGCGTGCGAGGGGCGGTGCGCGCGACGCCGCGCGCACGGTGAGGGCAGGGAGGACGGCGGCTCGCGCCTCCCGCGCCCACCGGAGCGGGGGCACCCGGCGGGCGGGGCCGCGGCACGACTGCACCAAGGTAAAGCGGGGAGGGGGGGAAGGCGGGCGTACACTCAGGGAGGGCGAGGGAGGGAAGACGCCGGAGGCGCGTGCGGTGGGCTGACCCCCCCACTCTGCTTCGCGCGTTGGTTCCGCCCGGCTGCGGGGGCAAGGGCGCCCCGGCCACCAGGGGGCGCAAGCACGCCCCCGCCGGCAGCGCCCCCTAGTGGCCGCGCGGCTCCAGGTCAAGGGGGGGCCGCAGCGCCATCTTGACAGTGGCAGCGACCGTGGGGGCCCGGTATGGGCAGCGCTCATTCACCCACAGCGGTGTGTGACCCACAGCGGTCATTGACACACAGGGGTCATTGACACACAGCACCCCAAGCCCACAATGCTCAGTGCCCACAGCTCTCAGTGCCCATAGGAGCAGAAGGCAGCATCTGAAGCTGCACGAAGGGAGGTTTAAGTTGGACATGAGGAAGAACATCACAGAAAAGATGATCAGACATGGGAATGGGCTGCCCTGTTTGGTGCTGGAGTCACCAACCCTGGAGATGTTAAGGAAAGACGACGTGGTCTGGTTGACAAGGGGGTGTTTGGTCACAGACTGGACTCGATGGGTTCAGAGGTCTTTCCTAAATCACCTGTGTCCCACAGCCCTCCCTGCCCACAACCCTGCTATGGCTCTCAAATAGCAACTAAAAATCATGTCTGTCATTGAAAGACCCGCAGAATAAAGTAAGAAGAGAGTCAGAGAGGATTTTGTCTCTGCTAGCATTAATATTTATACCTGTTCTTGAGCTTGGGAGCTTTTCCAATGCTGGGAAATATTTCTATTCATGCATTCAGCTGCATTTGGCTAGAAGCCAAGGTATGAATGAGGTGCATAAATCTATACTGGAGCTTGTGTCCATGTTGTTATATTTCTGTATGCTTTTATATTATATAAGCAAGGCCATCCAAGGATAGCTGAGAATTCATTTTCTCTGCTAAATTTCTCACTCTGCATTAAAATCTTTCTCTGCTTGTAAGTAATAGGAAACTAAAGACACGGGAGGAGAAAATGGTATGGAAGTGTGAACAACAGAGCTGGACAAGACTAGAGACAAGTTCATATTGCTTTACAGTTTACCTGGCCACTCTGTGATTTTCATGAGAAAGCTACGAAATAAGTAAAACAATTTTTTTTTTTGTTTCCCTTCCCCCTTCCCACAATCTAAGTCAGCATTTCTGTTCTTCCTGAGGCTCCTGCAAGCACAGGAATACACAAACATAAACTTCCAGGGCAAGTCTGTATGTCCTGCTAAAACCAGATAATGCCTCGACCACCTCAGACTAAGAGAATGAAAACCCAGTGATCAAAAAGGGTTTCCACTTTCATTTATTCAAGTGAAAAGAATGTTGTAGAACCATAATTTTGTGTGAATTGGCTTATTTGAACTGGCATAGGAAATGGCGATAAATCCATGTCCTTGTTTTACTATTTAATTATATTCTCTTTGCATGCAGTTTGCTTTTCCTGATCAAAAGACTGCTCCATATGCAAGAGCAAGCTTAAAAGAGATCCAAGTTCAGTCAGAAATCTGAGGCACAGATAGAACAGCAGAGTTTCCATCCCAGCTGCTGAACAGTGTGAGTACAATGATTTAGGGAGTCTGGTTCAGAGGTGTTGATTGAGGTTTCAGATCATTTCAGTTTGCCTGCAGAAAGACACCAGCATGACAAAATCCTAAACCCTGTGAAAGTCACCCTGCTTTTAGATACCATTATGGAATATCTTGGTTCAGTAACTTCATTCTTTTTCACCAAATCTGCATGCATTTATGATTTCAGCTTGTCAATGGAAAGAGTGAGAAATAAATCTTTGAATCAAATTGATGAGAATGTCTAGAAATATACAGGCTTGTGTCACTGGTAGAAATGAGGATGTAACACCATCATGGAAGAACATGATCTTTCATTCTATTTATTTTTCACCATGTGAAGATGGAATACTTTAACTGTGATGGAGGTTTCGCTAGGATCTGGTTTTGTCTGAATCTTAAAAAAGGTTATGAATGTTCATTCAAGAATGAAAATCAAACAAAGTTTTCACTTTGCCAGTAGATACTGCAGCCACGTGTGGTTGGTATTTGCAGGGTACTGTCACAGGCCACTGAGTCATTGATTTGAGTAAAAGAGGACAGAATTACTTTTGTGGAAGCTAGATTTTGAAACTTAATATTGCTGGAAGGCATGTGACCTACCCAGCTATCACAGGAATCTGTGACCCCTTCTCTGCCCCCTGTGCCACAGGAACTCATTGTCTCAGTTGTTGTCCCTCAAAGAAATGACAGTCCAAATCCACTGCTGCATTAGGAACCACAGACTCATTTTGGCAGAGTTTCATGAAAGATGAATATGGATTACTGACCTCTCATTGCTGTGGAGAGCTCCGAAAGGAATGATTGATTATCTGCTGCATTAGCAGCAGGAGAGAGACTGCAGGTCATTTTTTACCTAAGTTGCATTGTTTAGCTCCTTAAAGAAAAACCAAACAGGTATATGATTTTTTTCTGCATCTCTTTAAATAAACATTAGCCAGAGTGCATTTGAAAGTAGGAGCTATACATACAGCATACAGGCTGGATTACTTTATGGGCACGTAGTATGGAACACAGTGGTGTTCCCTACTGCAGTGTTGATACTCTGTGGTCTTGAATGACATCATTTACTTCAGTAACAGAGATGTGATTGCAGCTTAATTTGGAAGGCAGTCAGCCCAGCAGTTTGTCACTATGTCTTCAGACTCCTTGCCAGTAGCAAACCAGCTGTTAAATAGAAGTTGTATTGCTCCTAAATAAAACATTTTACGTCTGAGAAATTCAAAGCTGCCTTTTCAAATTATTTCATGCAGGGTTTTGTTCCCCACCTCCCCTGAGCAAATCCAGTTTCAGCACGAGCACTAGGTGTGTGTTACTAATGCATGCCCCAGTTAGCTGGGATGTGAAAGAAGAGATCAGTTGCTTTAAAATAGCCTTTTTTTCCCCATGGGCTCTTCTTTTCACCCTCTGTTTTCTAAAATTCTCAATGTACTCACTGCTGGCAGAATTTATGCTTAAAGTGAATAGCTAAGGCTTGACTTTAGAAGAAAGGATGAAATAAAATAGACTTACAACTTCACCAGAGGAGTTGTGCAGAGGAGGCATGTGCTGGACACGTGTTCCCAGCCAAGTATCCCCTGCTGGGAAGCACCTATGGTTTAGCTGCTCCTGCATCTGTAGTCAGTCTTGGTGCGGTCTGTCTTCTGTCCTAGCTGACACTGTCCTGTTGGGGACATTGTATAGTGCAGTTGGCAGATTCCTTTTATTGTTTTTATATGAACTTTTAGTTTAAATTCTAGACAAACCTGCAAATAGCAAAATAAGACTGGTGTTTCATGGATTATTCAGATTATTGAACTTTTGGGTCAATCATCTAACAATCCAAGGGAATGTGTATTTGTTTCCGGAAAGAAAAACCTACTGCATTTTATAGTCTAAGGGACTATTTGTTTTAATTAACAGTGAAAAATGTTTGCATGTTCACCATGCAGTAAGTCATTAACTGCTTAGATCTCCTTTGGAGTTTGGATACAGTGGGATGTTTCAGGTATGTGATGTGTGATTTGATAAGAGGGGTTGCACAGAGACCAGGGGAGCGTTACAGCCCTGCGCTGTCGAGCTCTGCCCCAGCACCCAGCAGGGCTTGTTTGGGAGGCAATGCCTGGCTTCCCTCCAAAGCCTGGGCTCTGACAGTGGGCTCCAAACTGCGACCCCCTGCTTTTCCCCACTGACACAGCCGTGCAGACACACCTACCTCTGACCTCTCCTGCTTTGCCTTGTGGCAGTAAACACCCGAAATTTGCTCGGCTAATACAATAGCCCTATACTTTTTGACAGAAAGGTCTGTGGTTAACCTCTGTGGGCTGCATGCTGCAGTAAAATGAAGGGTGGTAGAAGTTAAACAATGGGTGTGACTACCACAAGATGGGTGTTAGTGGGAAAGTGGTGTAACATCCACTTAGCATTCCAGAGATGTGAAATGTAATTATGATTTAAATGCCAAAGATGTAAGTTGCAAGATGAGTAACTACAAGGACATGAAAGCCTCCCTTATCTTCCTTTCTATCCCACTCAGAATCATTTTGCACACCCACAAAACTAATACAAGTAGTGTCACTTGATGAAATTACTCCTGATACATGACTTGTACCATCACTTACATTTCTGTCAGTGTGGGCTCTGTTTATACTAAAGGAAAAATTCCAATCTCATTTACAACATTTTAAGTTGGAAGTAATTTTGCTCTCAGTGGAATTACTCCCTATTTATACTCCCACTCAGATCAGAATCTGACCCAGGCTTTGAATTTCGTATTATTTGCTCTCATCCTTTCCTGTCATAGACAGAAGTCCTCGATCTGTAAAGGGCTACTCACACCTTCATTTATGTATCTTTGCAGAAATAGCTTATGAGCAGGTCTGTAATGTTAAGAATTGCTAACTAAATGAGCCCTGGGAGCAGCTGGTTGCTGAGCATACATGAATAGCTGCTTAATGTCTTTTACATCATCCAGCATATGTGGGAAGGAGAGCAAGAATGCAGAAGTGCAGCCCATGCCTAGATGAGGGGCTACACTGTTCTGTAGCAATTCCAGCACAGACAAGCTAAAGAACAAAAGAGTGAGTTGTAGGTGGGGGAGTGGAAGCAACTAGTGGGGAAAATAATTGTTAGTTCTAGACTTTTCAAGAAAATCTTTATAAACAGATTCTTGGTATGTTTAAAATCCAAGTGCAGCAGGTATAGTCAGCTCTGAACACAGGGCATGTTCTGTCCCAAGCTGTCACCTTGGAAATTGTCTGATGCATAGATCAGAATTGAAACCTGTATTTTAAATATTTTTATTCCCAGCATTGTTCCTTTTGTTTTCTTTATGGATTACATGAAAACTTAAGCTGTTATCAACTTCTCAGAGGCAACACCTTCAGATAACAACAGAGGGGGGAAGCCAGGAGAGGCCCTAGGTGAGGCCAGAATTTGGGACTCTGCTTGTGCTAGGTTAACCCTTGTAATTGAACTGTCTCTTTTCTGTACCAAATGTCCACCTAGCAGAGGGAAACAGTGATTTTTCAGATACGTGGACATCTGTGACTTCATGTCTGACTGATTTCACTGCCTGAGTGAATGAAGTGAAGCACTTACTCCAAAGTGTTTGATGAGCTGGGACTACCTAGTTATATTATTTTGGAATTTATTTCCTAGAAATACCATAAACATTTACTAGAAGTACTTTGTGCAGTGTAGGAAGAATAATTTTCAATCTGGGGGAAGAAGATATGATTGGTTAAACACATTAAAATACAAATAGCAAAACAAAAATGTTCGCTTTTAAGAATCAGAGAAAAACAGTTCTTGAAACCACAGAAGGTCTTTAGATAACAGCAATTAAGTCTAGGAATTTATAGTTCAGGATTTCTTATGAAAAAGAACCATGAGCCAAATCCTGTGTTCAGGTTAGCATCTGTAATTGCAGCTTTGGTGAAGGAAAGAGGGTGTGAGTGTCTGGAGTCACAGGAGGCTGGTTCTGGTCAGCCACTGTGCTGGAGGCGGCAGATCAAGAACATTGTAGCCTGAGAAGCCTTTTGCTCAAGCCCCTCTTCTGCAACCCAGAATCGCAGGAACTGCCACAGACTGCAGGCATCTGAGCCATAGCACACTGCCAAGCTTCCCACAGTAGTTTGGGTGCTACATTAGGAAGCAGCTTTTCCTCATGGCCAAGAGAGCACTCCCTCCAGAGGGAAAGTCAGGCTGTCTCAATTACTCTGCTCCAAACTGTCCATTCCCAGCACAGAGGTCTGATTTCAGGGTAGATTCACCCACAGTAATTAGAGCTTCAGGCTGGTGAATGGATTCTGATAGTCAGATAATATCCTGTCCCTGACACTTGTTCCTCATTGCACCCATGTACTTACTTGGCAGTGCTGCTGCACCTTCCTTTGGGACAGTGAGATGCCTTTGACAGCTGCAGTGCCCGTTAAGCAGAAGTCATTTTTTTCTGTTAATTTAATCCGTGGCAGAAATGTTGTTATCCAGAAGTGGATTTGTCTCAGGGAAATTTGTGGTCTGTAATGAAATTGTGTAACCACTTATATGATAAAATACTCATTTACATAAAGCGAGAATAAGATTTCATTCTTTCTACTGACAAATAGACTTATCACACCTGAAGGTTGATTCAGTGGGTTCAGCAGGTACACAGCTCTCTGAAAATCAAGACATTCAGGACTTTCCTAAATCCACAGTTAGTCTGCCTCTCCTGAGTGCTTAGATAAAATAGCTTTCATCACCTTTTCATCACATCAAACTCCAGCTGAATCATTACTGCCTACTGTCATGGTATCACGAATAAGCCTGTCAGCCCCTGCAGCCTATACAAGCAATATTTATCATGTATTTCATTCACAGATTTGCAAAGATAGGGTCAGCATTGGTACAACAATGTCTCAGGAAGGGGGATGCTTAGAGTTTCGGTGACTTGCCCAATGTCTGTTGCAAAACATAAGTGAAACAGAACCCAAGGCATTCTTGTACCAGGCTTGATTCAGCAAAGCACTAAACCAAGTGCTTAACTTTGAGCAAGAGCTCAAGCTGTTTGAATGGAGATAGATTTAAATATCTGTATAAATACTTTGCTGGACTGAGTCTTCAGCTTCCAACAGCTAATTACTGTTTACAGCTATTTCAGGGTTTTTTTCATATAGCTCAGCATATCTTTGGATGGCGGAAATATTTTTAAACTAATTGAATGGTGTGAAAAAATGTCCTGCTTGCTGGCCTTTTGGCAACTCAAATGTTCATGCATATGTTGGGAGTTTGTCTTGTCTTTATAGATGACACCATCAACTCGACAAGAAGTTCTTGGCCTTTATCGCAAGGTTTTGCAAATAGCCAAAAACTGGCAGTCGGCATCAGGACAGATAGAGGAGACCATGAGAGAGAAAGAGTACATTAGAAATGAAGCCAGAACGTTATTCCGAAAAAACAAAAATGTAAGTGTCCTCACAGTATTGAATATCTGAATTACTCTTCTCTTGCTCTTTGCACTCTGTGGTTGGATGCTAATATAGGAATATAAGGGTTGAGTTCCCAAAATTTCATTCACCTTAAATGCGGGTGTATTTGAGTTACAGTTTAAATATCATCCCTGAGAAAACTCAAACAATTTCAGTTCTTCATTAGTTACTGTAGAAGTCTAAAAGGTCTTTTTTCAGTAAAAAAAGAGCCAAGAAAAAATTAAATTCCAAAGATACTGCTTGTGTAATTGAAGCAGCTTTTGATCTTTACAAAGTTAGCTAAGTGTATCATTACCATGTAATGGCAAACAGAGCTCAGCAGCTTCTTTTTTTCTTTTCAAAGCAGCAATCATTGGCACTTCTTTTAAAAGAAGCACTTTAATTTTTTTCTTAAGGAAGAAATTTCAAACCGTGGTAATCAAAGGCCCTTCTTGTAATTCAAGATCACAACACTTATTTATATCCCATACTGATCTGGGACAAAACTGAAGTAATGCAAAATTAAAAAAATGAATTTAAGTCATAATTCACACCACATTTCTGACTTCAAAGAGAGTTTCTGGATAGGATGATAACAGAATGTACACCAAGCAGTGTCTTTCCTTTATCCACTGGTGACCTTGCAGAGTGAGGAACAGATGAGTGTGTTTTTTTCATAGATGTAGTAGTAGTTTATATGTTTATTGTCTTTTTACAGAGAAAATAGCATGTTTGGGTAAAAAACTCCTTCTGTAGCCTCAGTCCTGACAGCCTCTATGCCTGAACATTCAGCACCATCAAGCCCAGAACTGTTGAGCTGAGGAAAATACCAATGTTACCATTTATGGATGTGAAAAACACAATCATTGTGTCCTTGGGTTTGCCAAAATAAGCTAAGGAAAGCCACGTGCTGTTCATCGTTTACACTTGAGCTTCCAACTGCTAATTACGGTACTCATATAAAAACCCTTGTTTGTCTGATCATCATAGGTAACAGATCCCAAGCTGATTAAGCAGTGCATAGAAGAATGTGAGGCAAGAATAGAAATTGGACTTCACTATAACATTCCCTACCCCAGACCTGTAAGTACCAATGACAAAGTCTTCACTGATACCCACTGAGCTTTCTCCATACAACAAAACCATCAGTTTCCATCACTCTCATTGCACTGCATTTTTAGATGAGCTGGCATTTAAATGTGTGCTAAAGCAGAGCCAAATGTACATTGAGATGTTATCTATTTTTCTATTTTTTTTTTACTGTAAATTGGAGGATTTCTTCTCAAAATAAGGAGTCAAAGCCTAAATGGAGTTATATGAACTGAATTCCCAAGGCCTCTGAATATTTAGCCAACCAAAGAATATAGAAAAACATGGTAATGGAATAAAATAATAGAAGAGAATGAGAGAATAATAATATGAATTACATCTGCCATAGAAACAATAATTTTTATAGCCTACATTACTGTTAACCATTCTCCTGGTCACAAATCAGGCCTTATGAAATACCTGTCTATGTTGTTGCTTCTTTTCCCTTCTTCCTACAGAAGAACATGTCCAAGGTTACTGAAATGCTGGAAGTTGCAGCAAAGTCTTCTAATGCACCATTCAATAAATTTTGATCATTGCCCAGTCACTTCTGCCAGTAATACTTTATGCTGCCTCCCATAGAGACATCCTCTCAACTCCTGTTTGATGAGTTTATAATTTCATATCTATAGTTCCCTTATCAAGGCAGTCATGGTCAAAATGAAATTGTATTTTTATCAGATGCTTGCCTAGACTATGGTTACTGTTACCATCTGTTTCAGTATACACAATAACAATGCACAGCTGGCAAACAATGTTCCTAGAAATGGGCCTAAAATGTGTTCTCTGCAGTGGTTTCAAAATCCCAAAAGATCTGCTCTCTCAGACAAACTGGATGATTATTATTTTTCAGTTTCTAGAAATCTCTACTGCTGCTTTAGTCAGTGCTTTTACTACTATTTGCACCTAAACACCCATCTTACAGGATGACAGCCTCAGCAACAGTAACACCTGACTGCTACCACCTACATTTTTCAGTCATTTAGGGGGGTTACAGCTGCACGATTCCCACTAACAGTCTTATGAAATATAAAGACTTTGTCAATCAAAGGAAGAGTCTGTCACCTATTGCTCCTTCTGCTTATAGAGTCAATGACATTGATTGTGCATTTTAATGTGCCATATATATAATCATGACAGTAAGAAGGCAGGCTTTCAATACATACAGTTTGGGGTTATTTTATGACTTGTTAAGTAGGTATGAATAAATCACACAGTGATTCAAGACATCTACTCAAGAATTTTTAGGGTTTCTACTTCTTACAATGTTCTGGAACACTGTCAGCAATCCTATTCCATCAAGTATCACTGCAGCCTGATACCAAACCGCAAAACAAAGGTACTAAGGCCTAGCATATATAGGATTTTATTAAGGTCTAAAATATATATTATTTAAATAAACAGAACAATTAGGACCTGAAAGTTATACCACTAATCACTCCGCAGAGAGTCCTCCTCCTAGAAATCTAATACCCTGGCTTGAGACAATAGTTACCCTCTCCAATGTATGAAGAAATGACTTAAAACCGAGTGAACTTTGTATTTTTCTTCCCAATATGCACCTAACTGGTGGGATTTTCTTTTTCAGATCCATCTGCCTCCTATGGGCCTTGCCCATAAACAAGGCCGTACATTGCGACACCAGGAAAAGTTAAGGAAGATTTCTAAGCCAATATATCTGAAATCCCATGATGAAGTTTCATAAGCCACCATTTAAGCTGTGATGTGTAATCACGTCCTTTAAACTGTGAACTGCAATCCAGGCGATTTGTGTGCACAACTGTGATGGTGTGGTCACTTGCTCACACATTTCCTGAGGCAAAAAAGCCAATTGATCCATTGTGTATGATGGATAAGGTTGGTTTAGTATTTATTACATTTCAACCACTGACTTGTCAATAAAAGTAACACTTTTTAAGAAGTGAAGTGTGATATAAAGTTTACTTTGACATCAGGACAAAATGCAGTAGGATTTCAAACTCTGTTTATCTGCAACAGGGCTCTCCGGTGGTTTGAGGTTCTCTGTGTTCAGTTTTGACTCAAGACAGTGCCTTGTGTAAAGTCACCCAAAGTCAAGGAAGTCTGGGACAGTCAAGCAGACACAGATCCTCCAGAGCTTCTGCCTGCCAGTGGGAATACAGTCACTGCACCAAGTACCTGCTGTCCTTTCTCTCTGCTGTCTGCTGTCCCTGGAGAGAGTTCCAGTTTCATAGTGCCCTTATGGGGATGTTTTGTTTCTGGACAGTAGGAAAGAGACAGAAAAGTGGCAGAAGTGCTACTACTCCTTTTCCTTTTTGCAAACTGCAGAGGAGTGGCCTAGAGTCTCTATGTCAGCTTTTTCTTCCTTCCTTTGGAGAGGGTGTGGATGTGAAATGCAAAGTTTGGAATGCTATTACACAACTCTGAGTAAAACATTCCAGTGTTGGGTTCCTCAGGTTCCCATGTATGGACTGGCTGAAAACTCTGCCTTCAGGCTGTCACTATGGGAACAAGCTTAGGATGCTTTGGTGTCCTCACTATGTTTTTGCATGGTCAGCTTTTCAGCATAATCAGCACACTGGCTTTTTCAACAATTATTTTAATTTAGTGTTAGGTTTTAACTCTTATGTTATAGACCCCATCTTTAATAAAAGATAGTATCTACAAGTCCCCTCCAAGTTTGAGGGGTATTTCTGTTTCCCAGGTGCCTCATGAATAGAAGTAAAATTAAATTAATTTTTGTTTTATGGGCTACCAATTGTTTTGGCTCCTTTGCAGTCATCTGACTTTACCAGGCTGTTGACTGTTCTCTTCAGGGAAGACAGGAGTGTCTTCCATCCTTTAGGCTGGAAATACCAGTGAGACCAAGCTTGGACAAGAGCCACACTGTACTGGACACTACCTAAGCACAGTCCACAGCACTCCAAGGACATTAATAGTGGCAAAAAAAATAAAATCAAATTTGAAACGTGCATGTGTGTATGATTTCCTTTTAAAGTGGGAGAAATCAATGGAATCTCATTTCTGAGCTCACCAAGTCATTCAAAACTCCCCAAGCTCTAATAAACAATGACGAAGAAATACTGCTGTCTACCTGAAAAGTAAGTTAGAACTGGTCCTGTGCAGAACAGACTGACAGTCCCTCTGCCAATAATGCACTTTTAAGAGTGAAAAAAAATACAAGAATAGAAAGTAGAAGAAAACAATAAGAAGAGTGAATCAGCATGACAGGTACTGGCTGGCCCAATTTCTCACTACCCTTTATGGCTCCAGTCCACAAAGGTCTCTATTGCCATATAATTATTTCCTGGGAATGCCTCATGTGGGGAGTAAATGCCATTGTTTTGTCCATGGAAGCTTTGCAAATTTACTGCTGCCAGGAAGACACAAAACAAAACTCCTTTAGCCGAGGAAAAGGGGGGTTGCATTAAAAAAGAAAAAAGAAAAAAAAAACCAACCAAACAAACAAAAAAACCAACAAAAAAAACCAAAAATTTAACATGATTGCACATACTGCTTAATTCTTCATTGAAAGAAGTCTAAATACAGGCTTCCTATCCTAATTCTGATACACCAGTGTAGGGATGTGTCAACTGAGCCCAACCAAAATGTGCAGAGGCAAGGGGTTTGAATGGAAGCTTAAGCTCACTCTTTGTCATTAAACTATCATTTGAATCTTTCGAATTGCTGAAGTTTATGTGACTAATGAAGGCACTGATGCTCTGACGCATCAGGTGAATGAACAGCCATGGAAATGAGCAGTCTAAATTTTCTGTCTGTGTTATAGTCACAACTCTTTCCTAAGCACATACTGTAAGATGTAGATTATTTCAAAAGAACAGCCCTAGAATAACAGAAGATTTACACCAAACTGAAATAACAGGAGTTTACTTCTGAAATAAAATACAAAGAAGCAATTTTAAAAAGATTCAAATATTCTCAAGTAACTCAAATGAGAATCCACTTGCTTAACTGAGAAGCAGCAAGTAACAGCATCACATTATTTGAGATGTCTAAAATGCTAGACAGTCTAATAATTCTTCAAAGTGTTTGAAAAATTATTAACTGATGCTTTATCCTCATTACTCTCCATCACCAGAAGGCAAAGACTGAAATTTGTTAAAACTTCAGGCTGTTCAGCTAAAGGAAGGATTTGATCAGCTTTTTTCAAGTCTAGAGAGCAAACCCTTTCTTTCATAGTTTAAGTCAGTATGGAAAGGAGAATCTAACTAGAGCCCTTTGTCTTTGGAGGTCAAACTGGCAAACTACCATTTTGAGGGAGTTTCATTAAAAAATTCATCTGTAGTTCAGTCCAGCAGGTAGGCAGACATCTCAACTGGTACTCTTGTATTAGATGCCAAGGCCCTTATAACTTCTGTCAAGAAGTAGCCCAATGATTACACAATATATCATTCCTACACATTAATTTTACTTGCAAAAACAGGTTGTCCTAAAATGCCTCTGCTTTCTGCAGAATTTGCAATGCACTGGATTCACCCAGTCAGTGTACACTCTGTCCTGTACTTGCTGAACCTTCCCCTTCTAGTAAATACTGTCATTTTCCAATTTATCACCCTAGTCAGGAGATTGAGGTAATTTAGAAGAAAATGGTGACATTAACTTTATATTCTTCAGAAATAAAAGTCCTGAGTCAGTTGCATGGACTCTCCTGCAAGCCAACTGGTAGGCAAGGCAGTAAGAATTTGTTGACACAAATATCTAGCCTTGAATACCTAAGTAAAACACCTCCTTTCTGGGATTTCTGTCCCTAAATCCGTCATTACTAAGGTTGTAATTTATGAAGCTGTGCACTAATGACTAACATTAGCAAGCACACAAGATGGACGTGGCACCATTCCTTACTGAATGTCCCCCTCATGTTGTCTGGGGGTGAGGAAATGCTCCTTTTGCTGCAGCAGTGCCCCAATCAATTCCCAGGGCAGCATCACAGCACCAAAACAGGTTAAGATAAGATTAGGTTACCTGATCCATCTCCCTACTAAAACAAGCTGCTTCTTGTAATACCTTTCAGATGTGAAGAAAATAAGGCAAGCTGGACATTCCTGGGCCCTCCTATGCATCCTTCAGAAATGGTACCAGCAACATCCATCTTTTATCCACAGACAGAAAGGTCACTTATTTGATCATACCTATACATTCATTTTCAAGAATGCTAATTAGAGCAGAGACCTGCAACTTTCACTAGTAACTCTAATCCTATTAGGCACAATGTTCTAGCTATAAGTGGAAGAATTTGGGGTCTTTGTATCGTCTTCTGCTTTTTCACTGTGTAATTTTCCCTTTAACAGCCCAACAGTGTTAAAATCCAATCCTTTCTAAAAATAAATTTTGTACAGATAAGAGGAAGGTTTCAGACTCCTAAGAATATGTACAAACCCTGTCTGTCTTATAGGATCCCTAGCTGGAAATCTTTCTCTGCTAAGGGAAAAATACCTCTTGCTCCATAATGCACTTTTTTCCATCTGCCTTGAGTTATTACCAATGCTGTAAATCTGCAATTTGAAGTAATTACAAGTGGGTTTTGTGGCTTATTTAATGAGTGCTTCTAATTAAGAAATGAAAATTCTAAACCTGTCAATCCAAGGATTCTAATACTACTATTACAAGGTACTTAGTTTGTCCAAAATTTTTTCACATTTCTATCATGTCCAACTAGCAGCTGAGTTGCCTTTTTCTTTTTTCTAAATGCAGCTCAGCCAAGAAAGGTTGTGAATTCTAATGTTTAGCCAGTTTATCATTCTCCAGGAAGGTCTAGACAATGTTAAGGAAATAAGGTTGGGAAGCTCATTTCAAAGAACCATAGAAAAATGTCTCTAAGACAGATATCCCTTGACAATAAATTCTATTACTTTTGCTGTACTAGGGAGGGCAGCCTAGGAAATCATGTACTGCAGTAATCAGCTAAAGCAAGTCAGCCATGCCTGATCCCTGGTGAAGGGGATGCACAAACCCTCTCTTACAGACTTCTCTCTTATCAATTTATATTTTTATCATGTCTACAAAAGCTTAAAATACATCTTTAATTACATTCCAGGAGATGCCTTCATATCAAATCTAAACATCAGCACATAGGAAGCATTTAGAAAATCAACACAGTAACCAGGACATTGCACACATGTTGTAGCAAAGTCATTGTATATTCACAATATACAATTCACAAAAACCACAATTATGTAATTGAATAAACTATCAGTTACTGTTTGTTCACAAAAAGGGATTAACAAAACATGGCAAGCTATTACACAGATTTCTAACACTTTAAAAGTTATTGATCTCCATAAAATATAATTTAGGTAGTGAATTTGACTTTTTAAAAATGGTTTAATTTACAAGACTGCTTGCAAGACCAGAATTATCTGTAAGAGGATTGACAAATTTTAGTGTTAATTCATTTTAGTGTTAATTGTTGTTGGCCCAGCCTCCCTTTCAGCAGGTGAGGTGTCACCAGTGCTTTGATACAGAAGCTATGTCCAAGCAGAAAGATCCTTCTGAGAGCAGTGACTGAGCTGATGAATCCATTGATAAGGATTTAACAGCCAGTTCCTGCCCCTTCAGCCTGCACACACAGCTTCCATACCAGGAGGCTCATGACTGGTTTGTTATCTCTGATGCCACAGTGATCTAATTAGTGATCTGAATTGTTGATGCAATTAAACAACAATTAGATGCAGACATTCAAAAATACAGTAATCACCACAATTTTTTTTTAATGTATAGTAAGTTTCTGTTAATTTTAATTATATGAAAACTACAAAGTATCTCTCTTATGGAAGTCTAAGAAAATAATTTTGTCAAGGACCAATTTTAATTTATTTACAGATCTGCTGAAACATGATTCTCTTCTTAAAAACTGTTGTCTGTTTGGATGAGTGTGCTGTAACATTCATAAACAAGTTTTATTTTGGTATAGGTGCCAAATAGCATTTAGTCTAATTTATTAAGAGTAGTTTCTTCCTCTCAGTAATTTGAAACACCTGCACATCTCTGTCCCTTTTATTAAAACAAACATCCTTTGGGTGTCCTGGCCTGACATCTTTGCTCTACTCACCACGTAGCAATGATGCACCAAATGCCTGCGTGCTGGACTGTTAATGAGGTGTCAGGTGTGGTAAATGAAGCTGCTGTTTACCTGGGCATCTTCCTGCAGAGCAGCACTGCACAACACACCCCCAACACTTCTGCCTGACCTTGCAGTACCATTCTTAACAGTTACTATTTTATGAATATCTGCATAAAACAAACCAGTTGTTAATAAAACAATAATGAACTGTTTTCACCTAAGCACAACACGACACAACAAATTCCTATGACAAGAACTGTGTCTTTTAAGGAGTTGGAACAGCCTCCCGTAATGCTCTGAGCAGGACACTGGGAATTGCCAAATGATGGCTGAATCTCTGACTCCATGAGGCCTCCAGCAAGTCATTAAAATGCTGCATTTTGGGCAATGAAAAAAAATACAAGACCTCAAATTAGTGAATGTCTGTGTAGTGCATGTTTTTTTAAATGTTTGCCTTGATCTTTGTGCTTCTCTTGTACTGTGTACACAAGAAGACTAATGATGCATCTTTAGTACCTTCTTGGCATGCTGTGGGGATTAGTTAATGACTGCACAGCTCTTTGAAGATGTTCAGGCTATTTTATTTTTAATT